TGTCCCACCGTCCGAGGTCTCCTGGAACTTGTCGCGGACGCTCTCCAGCTTCTCCATGGCCTTCATGTTGGGCGCGGCGATGCGCTGCAGGACGCTCTGCTGCTCCGTCAGCCGCTGCTGCAGCGCCGCCATCTCCTGCCGGATCTCCTCCTCCGCCTGCGCGTCCTGGGGACATCAGGGGACATCAGGGGACATCAGGGGACAGCAGGGGACACGGGGACATGGGGCGTGATGGGACATGGGGACACGGGGACATGGGGACATCAGGGGACAGCAGGGACACAGAGACATGGGGACATCGGGGGACAGCAGGGACATGGGGACATGAGGTGTGATGGGACATGGGGACACGTCAGCACCACCATCTCCTGCTGGATTTCCTCCTCCGCCTGCGCGTCCTGGGGACACGGGGACAGCAGGGGACATGGGGCGTGATGGGACATGGGGACACGGGGACATCAGGGGACATGGGGACACGGGGACATGGGGACATCAGGGGACATCGGGGGACACGGGGACATCAGGGGACACGGGGACAGCAGGGGACAGCAGGGGACACAGGGACATGGGGACATCGGGGGACAGCAGGGGACAGCAGGGGACACGGGGACATCAGGGGACACGGGGACATGGGGCGTGATGGGACATGGGGACATGTCAGCGCCGCCATCTCCTGCCGGATCTCCTCCTCCGCCTGCGCGTCCTGGGGACACGGGGACAGCAGGGGACATGGGGACATCAGAGGACATCAAGGGACAGCAGGGGACACCGGGACACAGGGACATCAGGGACACAGGGACATGGGGACATCGGGGGACATCAGGGGACATCGGGGGAGAGCAGGGACATGGGGACATGGGGCGTGATGGGACACGGGGACACGTCAGCGCCGCCATCTCCTGCCGGATCTCCTCCGCCTGCGCGTCCTGGGGACACGGGGACAGCAGGGGACATGGGGACATCAGGGGACATCAGGGGACATGGGGACAGCAGGGACATTGGAGACATTGGGGGACAGCAGGGACATCAGGGGACATTGGGGACACGAGGACATCAGGGGACATGGGGACACGAGGACATGGGGACATGGGACATGAGGGGATATGGGGACATCAGGGGACAAGGGACACGTCCAGGTGTGTTGGCATGTGCCCATGCGTGCCCAAGGCATACCCAG